ACAGGCACCCCCCATTACAGACGTCAACAACCGCGCACAAAAGGCTTCAGATTCTATACAGTATTCTAATGCATTCATAATTATTTGAAAAAATAGTATGTTTTAGTTTACAAATAATGCAGTAGAATAGCAAATTGAAAGTATATACGTGAGTTCCACATTTCAGCTCCAAAGGAGCTGCGCTGACAAGCTTTTATATATATATTAAATAGCATGTCATCCTTAATCAAAAGTAACGATGTATTGAAGTCCGAAATTATATTTTCAGAAAGCCTAATGAGAAAATATATCAAGGGGAAAAAAAAGCGAAAATGTTGCACTTCTAGACTATGTCATAACTGTGCTTTCACCCTCACCCTAAAGCCCAAATACTTCATTGTACTTCCAAAGTGGGAGTATGGTGAAGTATTTGGGTTTTATTGCCAGATAGACTTATGCCGGCTGGACTCCAGCTAATATACCGTAACACAGGTCGATAGGAGACTTGAAATAGCTATACAGATTTGATGCACAGTTATGATATAGTCTGAAAGTACAGCATTTTCGATATTTTCCCTCTTGGAATATACTCAACTTTCAGATATCGTTAACTCTCAGTTTAGCAATGAGCAGATTCTGAATTTTCGAAAATATGAGTATAATCTTTTGTTTCTGTGATCAGAAATTAGGTCAGTGATAAAGGTAGGTTTCGAAATAAGCGAGTGCGAACTATTTTAGCGTTTGTTGAATCCCGTAAAAACCTATTGTTGATTCGAATATGAAGTTACAGAACATCCAAAAGTAGAAAATGAGAAAATGTCAATTCTAATGAAGTCGAAAACATTTGATGATTTATTTCAGGACAATGTTTTACCTGTACAATATATGAGCGTGAAAAAAAAATAATAAGGAAATACTGTAGTTGATTTAAAAAAATGGACACAAAGTTAACAAAAGTTTTTTTTACAAATATATCCAAAGAAGTTTTGCAAGAACTTCTCTTAGATTATGTCAGCAAAATAAAAAGATATACCAAATATACGGTATTTCACATAGAATTTATATTTCGTTGACACTATCTGAGACAATTTTCATACAAAAAATAGCCGAAACTTCAGAATATGACATTCTGATTCAATGGCTGGTCACAACAGCGTGTGACCAACCGAGGATACTCGCGCCATATTCCAACTGCTGAT